GTGCCTTTCTACTTTCAACTTATTTCAACTTATCTTGGGGTTGTTATGGCTGCAATAAATTATTTTTCCTATTTTTTTCACCCTTTTATTTTGTAATCTATTCAAGAAGAGAAACGTTCCATTCTCTATAAATGTAAATACTTAATAATCTTGTTATCTTGCCTAACTCTGTCCTATTCCATTCCATCCAAAGGCAGAATGATCTGTATTTGAACCCATGCCAGAAATGTTTTTTTCATTTGTGTATCAAGACCTTCAAGTTAGCTCCAATGTTGCCTATTGATAACAAAGCACTTGGAACCCTATTTTTTTAACAGCGAGTTTCAAATTATACAGTATGTCAAACTTAGGAGCTTTGTGCCTCTCTGATGACAGTATAATGTAATTTGGGAGGATTTGCAGAGGACAATTGTTGGGAGAGTTTAAGCTGATATACTGTTCCCGGTCAGATGCCCAACAAAACTTAAAAGCAAATTGGGAGATGGCGAGAAGACTTTTGCAGGAAGCAAGCTGTGTTTGGTGTTTTCATGTTAATGTCTTAGGGATTAGGGAACAGAACCACAAGGTGAAATACCACACTAATTTGTGTTTGACCTCCAGACATCCACAGACATAAGGGATCCCCTGCAACTTTAATTAGAAGCTTGTTCTCACAACTTCTGTTTTTTAATGAGCAATTTTCTGATAAGCACAGCAATATATTACCAATGAAGCAGCACCCTCCCATTGTGACCCTGCAAGGTTTCACACAATCAGTGTGGAATTTTAAAACTCATAATACCACAGGCATGATTATATGCTGCTTGTTCAGAAATAAGAGCCACTGAATTTTCTCTCTGGTTTATGAGAGTTTTGTTGCTTTTTATACATTTATTATGCTCCTGTTGTTCCCAGAATTCTTTCCAAAGCTACAGTAATAAATGCCATACCCAGCCGATAACCCTTACAATATTGCCCAACACTGTAATTATATTGGCAGTGCAGGTCAGGACACATATTTGATCAGTTTTGTTTTCTTTAGACCAACAACACTGAATCAGCTGTGAAAATGCCACCATTTTAGCAACCTCACCCATAGGCACATTTGAAAGGCCATGTGATATTCTTTCACTTTTTCATCACCCCTTAACTATCTAACTTAAGAGGCTGGGATATGATGGAGTAAATTATGGCATTTTAAATGATATGTATATGGGCTCTCTGGGTATGTCTGCATATTCTTCCTCCACAACCCAAAGCAAGATAAAATGCAGGACAAAGACTGCTTTTACATCAGATAAAACCTGTGTCTTTGATGTATTCAGGGTCCCTCACACAGTTGTTTTTAATTATTATAAGATTGAAAAGATGAAGGAAATGCCCAGATTCCATCTAACTGGAGTCTCAAAGACAGAAATTGACCATATGTTAAGTATACAAACTGTGCTGTGAGGAAAAGGTATAATTTGAGTTGATTGCTGTACAAGTACAATATTTTCCTCAAATCCCTTCTCGTCACTTCAAACCCACTAGATGAAGTGAATCTTGTATGGTCTCCTTTTCTCATGTCTTCCAAAGTCTCCTCTGAAGGATGGTGTCCAAAATCACATACAGAAATTTGAATTATAGTAGGGTATCTTAGCAACCAGAGAGATGGAAAAGTTCAAGGTATAAAGCTGAAGTAAAGCCCTATAACAACTGAAGGAGATGGGACTGTGTGCCCACTTGCTCACCCTCCCACATTTTTCAAGCCTTGTATGTAATGTCCCATGTGTGTTACATGACTTCAGAAGTGCTGCTTTTTATATCTGCACAACAGGTAGAAATTCAAGAAACAACAATTTCCTGATAGGAAGAACGTTACTATCAAATTTCAGCTTACTAGGAAGATTCTGGTTCAGGCAATTTGATTTGAAAAATGTCAATAAAATTTAAAGAAGCACAAATGACAGCACCAAATATCTGTGGAGAGTGGTGACTATTCCCAATGCATCCATTTCCATTACTCTATTGAACTGTTGTTAATACAATAAACTTCTATCTTATAACCTTTAAAGACATAGAACTATTACTGGAGCGGAAAAAAGGGGATAGTACCAGGGGTGGGATCCGAACGGTGTAACTACTGGTTCAGTGATTTTGCATTTTGCGTGCACGTGTATATCATTGTCAGCTAGCTGCCTGGACAGCTATGCAGCACAGTGCACAGGTGCGCAGCATTTGAAAAAGCACTTTTTTCCTGCTTTTTCAACTGCAGCTGTGCCATGCAAAGCAGCTGCGGTTGAAAAAGCAGGAAATAAAGATCAGGTAAGAGCCTGGGTGAACAGGTGGGGCATAACAGCAGCAGACATAGAACCAGTTCTATGTATGCTCTCTGTCTGCTGCTCTTCAGAGCTACCATTCTACAGAGGTGGACAGAATTGGTAGAATCTCACCCCTGGATATTACTATTCCACTAGAAGAGAATCATGTTGCTCAGGTTGAACGGTGTATCCCCTGATTTTCAGGGCTTTGGTCTTTCAAAGATTTGGTTGTGAGACCATGTTTATGAAACTGGACTCATCAGATCAGTTGGGATTGTTGCTAGTGTACCAGTCTCCCTGTTGCATGGCAACCTCCCTGCCTGAGCTGCTTCAGGCCATCTCAGAGTTGGTAGTGAAGTTCTCCAGGCTTATGGTCCCAGGAGACTCCAACCCACCATGGACCTACCCCAAATTATCTTGGTTCTGACTCAGGACAGTGGTCACACAGCAGATATAATCTTGTTGGAGCAATGGCAATGTGATCTGATGGGGGATTTAGCATTATCCTCCCTGCAATGTGCTCTACACAGACTACACTTGTGCAGAACTCAACTGCGCTGGCCCATGTTACATCACTGTTCTGTGAGCTGTACTATCTGTAAGTTTGCTTCCAGGTCCACTTCAAGATGTTGGTTATTACCTTTAAAACCTTCCACACCATGGCTATCTGAGAAACCAGCTCTCCTTGAGGGGATTAGCCACTTCACCCACACCGGCAGAAGGAGCATTCTGTAGACCCCAACAGCCAAGGAATTTTGGCTGGTGGGGTCCAGAAGAAAAGCCTTGTCTCCTGTGGCTCCCACCCCCTGGAGAATTCCCTCCCCCCTTTCACATCCTATTCCACCCATTTGGCCTTCCAAAAGGCCTTGAAGATATGGCTATGCCAACTAACCTGGGGTCCCAATGGGAATGTGGCAATTTGGAGGTGGCTAATGGAGTAGATAACACCTCAGTTTCTCCCTGAGTGCATTTTGCTCCCTCCTTCTCTATCCTGCTTGGTTTTATTTTAATTAATTTTTAAATGCAAGATCCTAATATTTGTTTTAATGTTTTATAATGCATTTTATTCAATGACTGTAAGTCGCCTGGAATTGCCTTTGGTGAGATGGGCAATATACAAGTTTGATAAATAAAATAATAAATAAATACTAGATTAATATGCTGGTGGGAAAATATTTATTGTATTTGTTTCCTGAAATGAATTGTTTATCCAAAGCACTGGATATTAGTGTTTCTTAAAAACAAATATATCTCATTTTGTGTTTGCTTGTTTGCATGCTATCAAAAGACTGCATTGCAGGTGTGGGCCTTTACGTTTTAAAAGAAATATTTTACTGCAATAACCAGTCAGCAATATAGCCCAATATAGTTCTGAAGCAGGAAAGTTGTTTCCAGTTTGTCACAGGTTGCACTCATAACTCTCAGCAGCACTTTGAAGAAGCCCCACCCTTTTCTTGATTTTGAAAGGATGGTTACATTTTGGATGGCTACCATTGATGGGCAATCACACTTAATAAAGGTAAAGGTTTTCCCTGTCCAGTTTTGTCCAATTCTAGGATGCGTGCTTATTTTTGTTTTTCAGCTGAGGGAGCCAAGCATTGTCCAAAGACATTTCTGTGTTCATGTCGCCAGTAGGACTATACGCTGAGTGCATGGAATGCTGTTACCTTCCCATCAAAGTTTATCTACTCACATTTGTGTGCTTTCAAACTGCTAGAGGGGCAGGAGCTGGGGCAAGTAACAGGAGCTCACCCCATTTTCAGCTGACAAACTCAGCGTCTTTAACCACTGAGCCATCATTCCCCCTAAGTACAATTATACCACATCCAAAAACATTTCCTTTTTAGAGATCTGAATACTGCATATTAGATTGCAAAAATTCCAAATAACCACTAAAAGGCAAAAAGGAGACATTTCTATGTTTCCTTGTTGACATGTGGTAAAGATCCAGAATTTGAGACCAAGATGTACTAGGCCAGGGATGTCAAACTGGTGGCCCATGGGCCAGATGCATCACATGCAGGCCACGCCCACCAGAACTCTGCAAAGGGGGGAAATGTTGCGATACCTCACGTGATGGCAACATGATGCCACACATTTGACACCCGTGTACTAGGCCTAATTGTAAATAGACTTCTGTTTATCTATAAGGAGTAAGGAAGATGACTTTGACAAGATATGTTGGGACCTATACCACAGGAATGGAACATTTTTGAATTCTGCAATGAGATAACATTTGGAAGTGCTTCAGTATTCCTATTTAATTAAACAATATGATGGAGGAGGAGGTACAATCACACATGCAAGCTTCTGTTGTTGTAGCTGGACTCAATAAAAGTAGCTTAAGCCTTCCAGTGGAGTGGAATTTCTAAGTCTGATCTCTCTAGAACAGCTGGCAAATTTAGTTGAACTTTTGCTTAGCAGTTGATTCCAATTATCAATTTCTGAGCATTTGCAAAGGACAAAGACAATTTTATCCCTACTTCTAACCTTAATGATGGGTCAACTCCGTTCTCAGAAATACCATTCTGTTCAATTATTCTGTTTTATAGAAAAAGTTATGGTCATGTTAGTAGAGTACCTTGTTTCAAAAAGACATCACATGACTGGTTATTACTATAAAACTCCTTAATTTATGAATTATTCTTTTTAAAAAAAATATTAACACGAGTCTCTGCCAGGCAATTTCAGGAGAAATATAGATCCATTTCCCAATTACTATAAACAGCTGATGTTAACTATGTTGGGCTTCTCACAACTTATGGGCTCCTCAGTGTTTGGCTTGTGTTCACTGCCTCTTCCTGGCTCGCTGGCAGATTCACTCTCTTGCTGTCCTCCATTACCATTTTGGGTAATCTTGCTATTCTCCTTTACTTTAGCTAACATTTCTTCTTCTTCCTCCCCCTCTTCCTCTTCTTCCATATTATCTGCTGTTGTTGCCATGACTACTTCTTGGTTTTGCACTCGGCGGGAGGTTCTCAAGATGGCTTTGCGAAAACCCTGTTTGAACCGATAGGAGAGGAAGCCATAGATGATAGGATTGGTGCAACTGTTGGCATAGGGCAGGACAACAACCAGAAAGTAAATACCAAAGAGTGATGGTTCCTCAGGCAAAGTCCAGATGACATTGATGATGTTGAGCATATAGAAAGGAAGCCAACAGAGCACAAAGACTGCCACCACAATTACTACCATGCGGGTAATCCTCCGTTCAGAGCGTTTGCGTTTAGCTGTCAATGCTCGCACCTTTCTGCCTGATGAACGAACCTTGATGACAATAAGCAGGTAACACAAGCAGATAACCAGCAGTGGACCAAAGAAGCCAAGTGTAGCTGTGTAGATGATGAAACCAGCTTTCCATACTGAAGCAGGCTCAGGCCATTTAATGTGGCATGTACTCATACCATGGGGGACTTCTGAAAACACTACCACAGGCAGCACCACCACAGATGAGATTACCCACACAGTGGCACTGACAGTCTTAGCAACTCGTACTGTCCGCCATTTTGAGGATTTCACAGGGTGCACCACAGCCAGATAGCGGTCAATGCTCATCACGGTGAGGCAGAAAATACTAGTAAATTGGTTTATGGCATCCACAGCCATCACTAGACGACACATAAATGAGCCAAAAGGCCAATATGATAAAGCATTTTGTGCTGCCAAGAAGGGTAGGCCAAGCATAAACAATTCATCTGCCAGTGCCAAGTTGAAGATATAGATGTTAGTCACTGATTCACTCACGGAATGGCACAAAACCACATAAATGACTAGAGAATTTCCAGCTAGTCCTACAACACAAACAATGAGATATACCAGTGGAATAAGGACACCGCTAACATCTAGACCCAGACTAGAAGCTAGGGATAAATTTCCAGAAAGAAAGGCTGTACCAGATGTTGAATTCTCTTCCCAAAAAGCCACTGTGGTGGTGAAGTTGAAATTGTCCATGGCAGAAAAAGGAGGGGCAGGAAACAATTATCCACAGGATCCCTTTGGAAGACTCTGCATTTGAAAAGAACAGAAATAAATAATTTAACATTCATCTTATAATCCACAAGCATTCTAGATAGTTAATATGTAACTCTGCAGAGGACTCAAGATATGGAATAGCAAGTGATGGCCAGTGAATCTCATGACTACAGGCTAGAATTGTCTATATATCTCCATTGCTTCTAATTTTAACCATAGTGGAGATTTCTCTTTCAGCAACTCCTATTCCTGAGTTAAGGGACACTAAGAATTGAAATCAATGGTAAATTTTCAGAGAAAATTAATAGAATCTTGAAAAATAGGACAATCTTTACCTTTAGGATATCACAAGAGAGCAGATTGTTGTAAATAATGAGGTTGGGCATCAAACAGATCATGGGAACAACATGAAATCCCATCAAGTGGCTAGGCTTAGGTTCCATACTTAATAAAAATGAAAGTCAACAGCTACAACAGATAGAACTCTAATGTACATTAAGACATATTCTTCAACCAACTCAATCATCTTGCATTGTCAAAATTAAAGGCAAATCCAGGAGCTCATTCATAACACATGCTCAAGATGGTGTCTCTAAGAAGAGCAAGTCTTGTCAGCTAAATATTTAATTGATGCCAGTGTAGCCATAGAGAATCAGTTTGATGTTAAAGGCTCTGGCTGCAAATCAGGAGACTGTGAATTCTAGTCCTATCTTAGATATAAAACCGGTTAGGTGATTCTGAGCCAGTCAATCTCTCTCAGCTCTAAGGAGATAATGGCAAACCCTTTCCAAACACAATTTTTTTCAACCTGAGGACCAGAGTTGAACTTAAATTATCTACCAAGAGACACATTCCAAAATGTCAGTAAAGTAATGACTAAGAAGTGGATGATCAGGGCAAAAACTACATTTGGATAGGCCAGAAAAAAACAAAACAGAACATTTTCAGACAGGCATTTAAATTGCTTTCATTTAACTGATTATTTCCCATGTATTTAACAAAGTCTTGTTATTACTCCATTGTCAGTGAAAACCTTTGAAGGAACTCTTGTAATAATATCCCAAGGTTTTTTTTAATGGCTGCATGCAATACTGGCTCTCTAGTTATATATCAGTCTTATCTCCTGTCAGTCTACTTAAGAAAACAAAAAGAATAATGATTACAGGAGATTGCAGGGCATGGAAAGAATGAACACATGGTTTTATGATGGAATGAAACAGGGATAGGAAACTTAATCTCAGTTAGCCACTCCCAAAACACAACATAAGCCTAAGTATGATTGTCTAACCCATTGTATGTGCAGTACTTCAAACTTCGGGATATACTTTCTAAAAAAAAAAGACACTAAAACACATATATTAGAGAGCAGGCAACAAAAGAGGCACTAGAGATGCATATATAGTAAAAATAACATCCAGAAATGCTTTGCATTAGGGGACTTTTTACAACAAAATATTTGAAGCAAAACTGAACATAAAAATTACGAATTAGATGATATCAATACACAAACATCTATTCATGGCAAATGTTAAATCAGAAACTTATGGAAACTGAATAGAATACAGTTAAGACTTAAAATATGAAAATTGGTGATTAGATTATGAGTTATATGCAGAAGAGCCCATTTCCAGTCTAATGGAAAGACTAAGGCCAAAGAATTAGATCTTAACCTGGAGAATTCCTGAGATGACTTCCTACCTCAGTGGGAGAAATACTGTCATGATGTCGTCCTTCCCTTGGGTGATAATTGAAGAGTGGGAAGCTGCTGCCGAGAGAGGACTGTGCAGTGGAAGGATAGGAAGCAAGGAAAGCTGCAAAGTGCAGGACATGCACTCAGTCATTAATAAGGCAAGTGTAGGAACAACACTACCTACTCAACATTTTTGTCTTTTGAAATGAAAGTGAACCCATTATCTATCAGGCGAAGGGGTAATGGATGATCACTTTTCACACAGCACAGCTAAGTGCTTTATTTCCTTTACCTCAAATTTTTACTAAGCAATTTTCTTGTATTTGGAAGCCTGGGATTTCTTCTGCAAAGTCCTACCCAGGCAGCCTCAAGTTCGGAATACGCAGCTCTGGCTGGGTTGTAGTCTAAGATAGTTGGAAAGCATCACATTGGGAAGGCTAGAATAGACAGGAAACAATTTCCTATGATTACAGAGAATGATCCTTTCCCAGTGTTATGTGGGAAAAGTAGGACTTAAGCTTCTGCCTTCTGCATCCAAAGTTGACATTGTTCTCTCACCCAATGCCAAAAAGCATTTGGATATAAAGCCTATAGATCTATCATTAGAATAATGATGGTGATTAAACTATCAAAATATGACATTTCCATTTTTAAACACATACACACAGAGCATGCATATACAACCACAATCTTTAGGAACAATTAGAACATGCTGTTTGAAAGTCTGTCCCTATAAACCCTATAAACACATAGCTGGAGATGATGAAAGCTGAAAAGGATTATGTTTTTCTGCCATAAACATGTGCTATTATATAAAACATTATCTGAATGTAAGAATTCTAGAGAATTTTTTTTACCACACGATCAATCTATGGTGATAACATACATAAAGAACCCTTTCTTATAACAAGCATTGTGTCTACTTGCATTTGGCTGAACAACCACAATCTTTCAGATGCACCTTTGTAATTAGCTATGGATTGTACCATTGTACCAGATAGCATTGGGAGGGGACTGCAAAGAACAAGTAGTCCAACCCATTGCAATGGGCCAGAAAACCAATTAAACCATCCATTAGAGACTCATCTTAAAACCCTCCAGAAATGAAGAACCCACGTCCTCCAGAGATTGACTTTTGTATAGGATTACTTGTATGCATTTCATTGTGCAGGATATACAATCAACCTTATTTTGTACTGTCCATATTCTTCATATATGTAATGGCGCTGCCACCACACCAGGTGGTGTAATGATAAGTTTGAAAACCAAAACAGTAGTAACGTAGAATAGTATCTCCATACAGCATTGGGAGTGTTGTGTACCCTGAACACTCTCTGCATATATGTGAAGGTGGGGGATGGAATGTATATATGTAAGGATTAGCAAATCTGTGTGCCTTGGATATGTGGATGCACCGGATAGTCTTAAGGCAGCCCCTGGAGAGGAAAATGTTGGCTACTCATGGTTCAAAACTTCCAGAGGAGTTGTACCCTTCTCTTAGGAAATATTGAACACATGTAATATGTCACAAATATATGCTAAAATACATTAGTTTAGCTTTGATTATAATGTAGGACTTCCTCAAAAACAGAAAAACTTTCTCAAACCATGGCTTAAAGGCTATGAAGGATAATGAAAATACTTGATGCATATTTTTGAACATTTTGATATCACATGCTTATTGATGTTTTGGTCTTCATCACTCCAATTCACCATGGAATAAAAAAAACATTCTTCCTTTATAAAAGGTATATCATTAATTACTGGGGTGAAAATGCTACAAATTAAGCTGTTTAAATTATTTTAAAAAACCAAATAGAGAATTAAAATGTGCATTTTTTTCTTAATGCAAAACATTCTCCATTATTCTAATGTTAATATTCAATTTGCAGCATGGCCATAAAACTCTCTTCTCTCAGTATCATTCTGTCTTTAAAATAATAGGTTATTTTCCTCCTCCCCATTTCCTAGCTCATTTGTAGAAATGAGTGTAACATATTGTGAAATCCCTAATATCCAGCTAAATTCAGTAATTTGTGTCTCTTAATAGTAATTAAAACAAAATGCAGAAAAACCATTGTCTTTTCACCATTCTTTGAATTGGGTTGACTTAAATATTGGACTTACAGTGAGTTAATTTGTCTTCTATTACCTTCTTCATTAAAAAAATCTGATGCTTGCAATAAATTATCTGATAAATTATTCTAGGGCAAGGCAGCTAACTCCAAAGCTGTAGAATGATGGTACAGTTACAATTTCCCCTTAACTACGTATATAGTTAGCCTATAGAACATTCTCTCTAGCCACTTATCTATCACTTAAAACTTGTATATATTCAGACAATGGTTGTAGCGGTTTCTGTTGTTATTTCTCATTATGAAATGTATAGAAAGGTGAATGAATATAACTGAAGATTTGGTAGACAAATGAAAACCATGGTTTTGAACCAAAGCATTAACAAGTGTAAATTATAGGGGTTTTCTCATTAGCTTATCTTGAGGGGAAGGCCAATGACATAATGACAGAGCATTGTCATACATACAGAAGATGCCAGATCAGTAACAATGTCTCTACATTAGTTTACAAACAGACTGAAATTCCTATTTAATAGTGAAGAGCTGGACTGTGCAAACTTTTTGAAGCAAAAAGGATCTTCAGAGGGTATGTGCAGTGTACAAAGCCAGGACAAAACATAAACTGAAAATGAACCTTTATGGTAAATTAAGTAAAGCTAACATTATTAAATTGTTTTTCTTAGTGCATTTTTCTCTGATCAAATAAAAATTACAGCTCAAGATAACTTTTAAAAACCATTTTGGAGCTGCCTGTCCTCAAAGTTTAAATAACTACATGGACTCCCAGGATTCAGATTATGGAGCTTTAATGTGGTTACTCAGTAATACAAGATGGCTTGTTGTCATGCTTATTGAAGAAAGCATTTGACATTCTGAACTGCTATAGATTTTAATTACACTTTACTCGCTGAATCTCTGTTGGTTTTAATTGGAGGTATCTATGGGGAAACATTAGAAATAAAAACTTGTAAATGGTGACAGCAGTTCAAAACACAGTATGAGTGCTAAAGTTGAGATATAATGCAATGCTTTAGGTAAGAAGTTTTTTGGGACATATATCTTAAGAATATTTTCCAAAGTTCTAGAAATAGCACTGGAAACCTGGCTTGGAAATGGGAATGTTATGGGGAAAAATATAGTCAAAACTAAAACTAGTATATGTTGAGGAGGAATAGCAGTGGGGTTTTTAGAGTGAGCCCTGAAAAATCAGCAAT